GAGGCTTTCCCACCGCTTTGGGAGACATGAGAGAGCCGCACTTCGTTTTGAGCGCTTTTCATACAAAGTGGCCAAAGCGGAGCTGCCCGGGCAGAACTGGAGCCACACAGCTCGGCCTCCACGCTTCCCTCCCCAGCACCCTTGGCCTCTGTTCTGGTATAGCTCACAGCACTCACACCAGTGCCCATTGCTCTGTTTCATCCACGTCTGCTCACAGCACACTGCAACAGATTCTTTGTGACTTCTCTACCCCTCACGCTATCCCAGGCTCAGACCTAAAGCCCGATCTCAGTATGGCTTGACCGCTGAACCTGGAGTGGGTGCCGTGCTGAGCTCTGGCTCCTGCAGTAACCACAAATGTGAGGCAGGTTGGGATTATGCTTTGCTGCAACAAAGGTTGACCCACCCTGACGGACACACCAGAACCAGGAGAGGTGATGTGCTAACTGAACACAGCAAAATCCTATTTTCCAATACAGGAATGGACACATGCTAAACAGAAAAGTTGAAGAAATATCAGGGAAAAGTGGTTTTCTGGAATGTTCATACATAGCACAAGGGTTTTGGTTTTTTGTGTTGGTTTTTTTTTTTTTAAGTACTTGATTTCATTTAACATTTTAAGTTCTCTACAACTACCTGAAAGGAGGCTGTGGCAAGGTGGAGCTCAGTCTCTTCCCCAGGTAACAAGAAGCAGAAGAAGAAATGGCCTCAAGTTGCACCAGGGGAGGTTTAGATTGGGTATTAGGAAAAATTTCTTCAGTTTGAGGGTGGTCAAGCGCTGACACAGGCTGCCCAGAGATGTGGGGAATCACCATCCCTGAAGTGTTAAAAAAGTGCATGGATGTTGCACTTGGGGACATGGTTTAGTGGTAAATATGCCAGTGCTAGTTTAACGGTTGGACTCTATGATCATATGAGGTCTTTTCCAACCTTAACAATGCTGTGATCTTTTCTTACTTGAATGTTTTGTAACATTTTTTTCTTTCCATGTCTTTTCCATAAGTAAAACCAAGTTGCTGCATGCACACTTTGCTTTTATGGCCCATGGCACAACATACATAATTTTTCAAGGACTACTGAGAAAAGCTAACTTAAAATTTGTACTACACACAAATCAGCATTTCCTGAAGGGATATGGTTTAGTGATGAAACATGGCGTGCTGGGTTAACAGTTGGACTTGATGATCTTAGAGGTCTTTTCCAACCTTAATGATTCTATCTTTCTCTCCTTTAACTGTAAGTAGTATTTTTTCTTTCCAAATCTTCTCTGTATGTAGCAAACTGAGTTGCTGCATGCATCTTAGGCTTTTATGACCCACAGCAAAACACAGGTAATTTTTGAAGGACTACTGAGAAAAGAGAACTTAAAATTTGTACTACACACAAATTTGCTTCTCCTGAGATAATGCGTCTTATTTCTGCTCTACAAAAAACCTTGGAATAGGAAAGAAAATTTTTAGGAAATCAACATAGCAAGAAGATATTAGCCATCAGTTTCTGCAGTATGTGGAAATCAGTGTTGCTAGTGTTACACAAAGGAAGAAAACTGCAGTGACTTTGGCTGAAAGAAGTTCTACGGCAGATGTTTGACATTAATTAAAGTTACAAATTCATAGAAATTATGTATTTAGCTCCTCACCGTGGCATGAATTAAGATATCTATGCTTTAGGGTCAGCAATGAATGAAATGATAATCAAAGCTGTAATTTTGAAGTTTTTTCCCACTCTTTTTTCCCGCTCCAAGCCAGATCAGCCACAAGACTAAATACAAATGAAGAATCTGCATATTTCTTGAGTGGGAAGCCTGAACATCGGAAAACAACCTTCTCATCTCACTATTAAGCATCATTGACTACAAAGGGTAAAAAAAGTCTAAATAAAGCGTGTATGAGCTGCTGCTGCTGGCTGACATCAGTGTGCATTAGCTGAGGTTACCAAACATTCTTCTGGGGAACAACAGCAGTCTTTCTCCAGTTTTTAAGGTCTTTTCACTTCATTTAAAAATACAGTGCTTGTCCCTAAGTAGGAGAAAGTAATTAAGAATTCTATAAAAGTTTAAATTTATTTGAGAATACAATTCTATGAAACAGGTTTCAGAAGAGATCGTGTTTAAAAAAACATTTTCAAATTCTCACTTATTTCTGGTTGCTTTATTTCACATCAAGGCAATCAAATAACTTTTCTTACAAATTGTTTAATGTTTTAGATCAAATAATTCGAGTAATCTGATTAATCAAGTAACTTGACTAAGTCAGTGTTTAAGTAAAACACTTTTAAGTTGAAGTTATTCACTAAGTAAAAAAAAGTTCCAACATGCAAATTTCATCCTCAAAGTGAATTTTAAAACAATTGTCACAGATAAGTTATCTATGTAAGCCTGAGCAATCAAAATAGTTTATTATTCCTTTGCACTAACAAGGTAAGTCACTAGAGTCCTAGATCAGAAAAAGATTACATATACCAGATATGACTGCTAATTGTTGCTTCAAAAGTAGCAAACATAGTACTGTTCTATTTGGCAAAAATGAACCCTTTCAATATGTGTGTGCTCCTAGGGATAAGTTAAGCAACAGTTTACATCATATTCTTTTCAAGGAGAGTTCTACAGATATGTGACACAATGTATTTTCTACCAAGGCAGGCTTCCTTTAAGGATAGACAGCATTTATTTTCTAAATGTGGGCTGTTAAGTGTGTTTATTTTCCAAAACTCGTATTTCAGTGTCAGAAAACATCTTTCTTCTTCTTCCCTTAACTGAATCACACAGCCATGACTGAAAGGAAAGGGCATTGTACTGGTTATTAAATCCTTACGGTTTCTTAACAAAACGGCTGTAATAACATGGGAAAACTTGCACCAATATACTTAAAAGAGCTTGAACAATCCTGAGTGCATAATAGCACACCAGCTCCACTCAGCTGAAGTTAATGTAAGTGCGGAGCATGCATCATCTCTTCACTCCTCCACGCACCGTTTCCGTAAGATGATGTGTATGGCTGGCCTGGACTGAAGGAGGTGAAGAGGGGTTTCCTGATAGTCAGTAGCGCTGCGTGCCTGTGGCCAAGCCATGTTCCTCCACACAAAGGTGGCGAGGCTCTGGCAGGGCTGCACAAGTTAGAAAATACAGCATTATTTTCCCACGGAGCTTGAACTAATACGCAGAGATTGTACAGCAAAGGCAATGATGCAGACGTTGAGGCATTGCAGAGCCGAAGCACTGTGTGGTCTGCAGGGCTTATCAGCCCCGGTCACGACCTTGCTGACAAGTCAGCCAAGTTTGTACTTCACTCCTTGTATCCAAGTTATACAGGTTCTGTCAAGGAAAAGGATATTCCAGCAGCTTTACTTCCTATGTTCCTCAAGATGGTCACCAATGCCTGTGCCAAAGCATGCTCTTACAAGGTGGTCTCTGGAAGACTGTTGCACTGCACAGGTTAGGTGAGATGGTATTTCTGCAGTACAGTCTTTCAAAATTTCAGTCTAGCAAGGGACCACACAGTAAGCAGACACAGTTCGGCATAAGAACTGGTGTATTGCTCTTCCTTTGGCATCTCAGTACAGTGTTCACTAAAATATACCGTCTTATATATTAATAAACCAGAAATTAACACAAAATTAAAACAAAATAGAAGGAATCTTTACCCTGCAGAACAACTGATTTGAAGACTATATAGAAGATGCTGAACAAAATTACCATTGCCAAAATAGTAAGAATTCTTAAGTTTTTACATAACATTCAAGATGTATTTTTCCAGTGTGCCCACGAAAAATCCCACCCCAAATTTACTATTCTAACCTTGTTATCCTTTGTCATGCATTGGTCTAATGAGTTCTCGTACTTAATGAGGAGCTTCCGTTCTGAAGGGATTTTGCAATAAACAGTTGCACAAAAAGAGAGCCCGTTCATTTATTACTTTAAGTCTTCTGAACATTGAAGAGCATATAAGGCGTGACTATTTCCCTAAAGCGGACAAGTGATGTAGCTAGTTTAACAGCTTTGAACTATGCTTCGTTTCTTTCTTCACCCTCCTCCCTCCCCTAAAAGGGCCTTAGCTGTATTAACTACAGCTTACTTGAAATTTGATCAAGTCACCTTCAGCATAAAATATGCAATATCCCAATTCAATTGTGACAACTTTTATTTGATTTTTCTGATATTATCAAGAAGACAGTGCAGCTGGTTTGATTACTAAAGCCTTTGATTTTTATTTAAAAGCAAGTTTCAGGGCCTTGCTAATGAGCAGGGCAACATAAAGCAAGTCTTAACGATACTGCATTTTATTGGGGTGAAAAAACGTTCAAAAATAGAAGCTCATTAGTGTTGTTTTTCTCCCTTGCTTTTCCAACCATCTCACTTACAGAAAACAGACTAGTGTTGTTAATGGACTCTCCAGGTAACATGTTTTAGAGAGATGTTCGTAAGTGATAAAACAGACTCTCAGGCCTCTTTCTTTTCTATGAAGAAGGAAAACTCTGCCAGACTGCTTCTGGCACAACCCCATTCATTTTTCCTGCAATGACAATTGACAGAGAATGAGAGCACTCTCTGGGACACGGAGGGTTCAGTTTCCTTTGGCAGCGGGTTTGACTGGAAGCAAACCTAAATTATTCCACTTCTAAGGAACAAATAAGGAATATTTTTCTGGAATGTAAAAAACATGCACATTAACCAAAATCAACCTTCACAAGAATCCTAAAGCATAAGATTGCTTAGCCAAAAAATCCCAAACAAACTCAAAACAAAACCAACAAAATAGACCCAAAACAACCACAGTGCTACTAATTCATGTATAAAAATGGGTCAACAGCACCTTAAGATCTAGTGGGTGAGGTGAGAAGGATGGTACAGGGGAAGGGTATCACACAGCATTCAGTAACGCCACCTGACAAATTTACAATAGATATTCCTAAAGGGGAGAAAAGTATATGACCATCATGGCTACCTTAAAATCTATAGTCTGTTTCTGTTCTTGTTAAACAAAAATTCATTACAACAGTTATTACTTTTCTATAATTTATTTCAATTAGGTGAGATACTTCACATCGCTCTATTCATCTGTGTGTGCCCTCCACAGTCCTACCATTTGAACTAGTTAATGTGCCTTTTCCAGGGCAAAAATCCACATTGTTTTTCCACATATACAAATAGCAAACATTGGTTTAACTAAAGCTTTTTGACAATTTATTAACATTATTAGGCTTGAGAAACAAAGTGAAGTTTTATTCAAAATGTAAACATTAAGATAATTTTAAAATGTTAGTGCTCACCAACAGGAAGAACAGTCCTTTTTCTGCTTTTTTTCTTCCATATATTTATTTATAAATAATGCACTGAAAAAATGTCTTTGTCATTTGAATCACCTGAAGAAGTTCTTATAATATTCTTGCACCATTACAAATAAAAGATGGAGATAGCCTCATATTCCAAGTTTTCACCCATTAACATACCATATACGCCACTCAGAATGTTATCTGTGAATGATACAAACAATAATCCTACTCTGAACTAGCTCATCATTATTATGATGAAACATCACAGACAGTAATTTCTGAAAATTTTAAGGGGGTGGAAGGGAAAAAAACCCACCACATAGAAATCTTGCACAAAATGCATGCTTGTATATAAATACCCAAAGTTGCTGTAGGAACAAGCAGCAAAATATAGCAAGGACAAATGCAAAGTTTATTCCATGTATGCTACAATTAATCAACACATTAGGGAAGTATCAAAATTTGTACTATTAACATATGGCAACAGTTTATTGTTACAATACATTGCAATAGTCTCACTGAAAAAAGCTTTTAAGCTGCAGACAGTGCAATTGCATTAAATCTTAATTCTTCTGGGTCACGTTCCATGAATTTCTTGCAAACTTCTATTGCATCCTAGGGAAAAAAGTACAAATGGAAAAAATACAAAATGAAAACCAATATAAATCATATTAATTAAAAAAAAAAAACAACACCAAAACTGAAATATGAAGATATGCTTTATACAAACTATGCTCAAAATGGACTTTTCCATGAAGGTTTACTAAACAGTGTCACAAATCTATATAAACAGTATTTCTGAGGTGAGTTACCACTATTCAAGATTATTTTCAGTGCTCATATGGGCAGCCTAAACAAGCAAAAGTTTTATGTAGAACCTTAGAAACAATTTTTGTGACTGAATATTACTTTTTGCAACAGATGTGTTGCTTGTCTTTCTAAATGCATCTCTAAAGTTTGCCTTGACTAGTCCTCTGCATTCAGAAATTTTTCCTTTGTTTCAAGATGAATCTAAGCTCTGTGGGGTAATTGAAAGATCTTAAGTAATTCCTTCATCTAGCTTTAGGGTGCAATCTGGAGAACACATGTTATCAGTAAACCAGAAAAAAGCTACATATGAAATAAGGAAAACTTTATCCAACTTCTTCTCCCCCTGTCCAAACACAAATTGTATGCAAACTTTACAGGCATTAGTCTATGCTACTAAACTATAAAATTGTTTTGGTTTTTGTTTGTTTTTAGTTTTTCTGGGTTTTTGTAATGCTAATCTAGTCTGGATACCATAACAGTCAGATCTATGCATTGCCTTTTCTCAACTTCAACTTTGTATCATGCTGTGGGGACGGCAGTTATCCTCCCGAGTGTATCCCTTTCCAATTAATTTCTCAACTGAACAGCTCCTGACAAAAGAAGCACTCAAAAGAAGCTGTGAAACTAGAGAATGATTATTAGCAAGACTCAGAAAGGAAATCAACTTCTGTCTAGTATGACACCTATCAAACTATATTGTCTCGTGTACTTGAAAGGAGCATGGGTATATGCAAATCTCACAGAAGACAAGTCAGTCTGAATTTCTGTTATAATCAACCTTTCTGACATTTCTTATGTTATGATACTCTGTCATCCAGTTACAACATGAGTGTTCCAAAATATCTGGTTTTAGAACTGAGTAAAACTAATTTTGTCTTACCATCCCACTTGCTCTATTTCTCATCCAACCATAAATACAGCAAGACTTGTATAAGTATTTTCATATATATGTATTCTATAAATTTTGTGGAAATACAGCAGGAATTTTGTATAACCCCATTTAAGAAGGTTCTCTATTCCTACCTCTAAAAAGGAATCGTCACTGGTTTCCCCATGGTTTATTGGAAATGGCTTGCGCCCATCTGTTGAAAGACAAAGCACGATTGAACAGCACATTTATAAGATTATAAAAGCTTCATTTTTCCAGTTAAAACTATTTGAACACATTTTTTTGTACTTCACTTTCAAAAATGCTATCTTATTTTTCATAAAAGTATCACACATGCTAGCTTTTCCCTTGTCTCTCCTCCACTGCTGACTGCTTCAACCAGTATCATTATGTACAGTCTGTTACATTAAAAAAATAATCCAAACTATGACATATTTTTTAATATTTTATTTGAAAACTTCAAGGGTGTAAGTTGCTATTGTTTTACTGCTGGTATAGTACTTCAGTTTTTCTAGTAGAGTAGAAAAATTTCCACTACGCTTGATGGATTTACTCAGACAGACAGCTGTACATCTGTGGTCTTTGACAGCTGTGAGCAGGGATTCCGTGACACAACCGAGCAACAAACCTACCAGTTTGAAGAGTCTGGCATATCTGAAATGTTTCTCTCATTTAAAATAAATTAGCAAACAAGCCCAGTAGCTCTAAGTATTATGTACTTTCATAGCATTTAAAAAGGGTTGCCATAGTTATTTTTTTTCTCCCATTTGCAATATAATAATGCTATCATTATCATCATTTGAAAAATAATTTCATTCATAGAAATATGTTTAAGGTTACTTTCAAAGAGTTAACAGTATGAAAACATATGTCAGGGTATCCTCAGTATTTGCTAGACCAAAATGCCTTTTGGTTCTGTCCTCCCTGTAAAAGACCTTTCCCTCTCCAAAGATGCCATCAAAGTTGACAATACTTCCAAACTCCAAACTTTTGGATTTGCATGAGCAAGAGATTGTTCACTACTGTAACAACGATGACTGAAGATACAACAATGCAAAACCCTCAGAAAATGCCAGGGAAACAGAAATGAATGCTCTGAATTGCTGCAAGTTAAGTTTGATTCGATTCTTGGGGTTTTTTACATACATCTTGGCAGAACAGCATTTTAATTTCATGTGACTATAAATAACGTGTTTTCTATGGCAAAAACATCACAAGCATTTAGCATCCATGTGCTTCCTTAGCATTTTCTGCCTTCCAAAGCCCACATACTGCCCACAATGAGTGAAGCCAGTGAATCAATTGAAAAACCTTCTCCCATTTTCCTACTTTTAAGTTAGTTTTTTTTGCTTCCTTCCGCTGGTACAAAAAGAAGTTATTTTAAGAACAAAAATATAGTACTACTGGTGTTCCACTGTACAGCAGAGCTAAATGCCTCTTCTTTTTCTATTTGTTTTTTTAATTTTAAGAAAAAAATTCAAATGGATTTTATCTTGCATCATACCTACAGAAAATAGCTACACATGGTCATCAGAGTATGTAGTTTGCATTTTAAGCAGAGTAAATTAATAGGCAATGAAAACATATTATGGAAATAGCACACACTGAAAGAAGAGCAAGCCATTCACCATGCCTTGAAATTTAGTCATAAAACATTTATATTGTATCCTACAGTACTTACCTTTTTGATCTAGTTCACTGACAGACACACAGGATCATAGAATACAGAAATGTTTGCCTATTGTTCATAACTAATCCCTTATAATACCCCTTAGATCAACTTAATATTAACATAAGCACTTCTGATATACCACTTATGCCCCAGACTGTGATTAGGTAAGGGCATTGCTTAATTACATGTTGATTTTCAAACGATGAAAATGTTATAACCATAAAATACTGCAAAAATTATGATAGGAAAGACCAGCGAATTTAAGACCAGTTTTTAAATGGTGATGTACTTGCTGGTTTTCCGAACAGCCTGCAGCAAAACTGAGTTGCCCAGCAACATATTTAAGATTGGAGTCATTAGAGAATATCAGAGCAGAACTGAGGTGCTACACAATCTGAAGGGGGGAAAAAAAGCTGTAATTCAGCAAATAAAGACTACTGTTCTACAGTGAATGGCCTAATGACCACAAAAAAGTAGAGGGAAACAAATGACCAGCCTATTACAAATGAGTTGCAGAATATTAATATCTGTCGGTACCCTGACTACACACTTTCAGTTTAAACTGTATCATGCTACTTAATAGTACAGCTAACACTTCTAAAGCAGCATACAGTTAATTTAGTACAAGCAATGCAGGAACATAAATATAACTAGTTTCCTCTGAAATTTTGAGTGTTCATCAATTTTTTCTTGCTTCCTGTCCTTATAAATGATAACAGAAGTTTTAAGGCAGTCTAGTATTCTGTATCATTTTATCTTAATAGGAGGGAGTTGAGGGAAAGAGAACCAAAAAGAAAAAAAATAAGGGGAAGAAGGCTGCAATTGTTTGACAGAAACCCCCAGACCCTAAGATGCAGCTGAAAAGAACCTCAGCCCTATATAACATCAAGAAATCTCTCCTAAACTTTGACAGTTAACAGCATCACTATTTGCATTTGTTTCAAACAAATGGAGAGGGCAGATAAAAAGGTGTTCTTACCCAATTCATAGAGATGACCACCTACATTAACTAAGGCAATAAAGTGAAGATCTACTTTTTCATCTATACTTGGTGCCTGCAAGACAAAACAAGAAAAAAAAGAAATTGTGTTCACTAAAACTCGTATCACAATATGGTTAATGAGCACATATCATCATAATATGCAAAACACTTGGACGAGAGAAATCACAAGTGAGTCTCGATCTATACAGCATGGCAGAAATCAGGGCAGATCATTTTGGAATATGAAGAAGCTGCCTGCAATGCACAGACCAGTAAGAATACATGCAGTAAAATATCTGGAATTATTTCCAATTACAGCTCTACACAAAAGCTTTATTTTTCATTACTGAATTAAAAGTAGAATCAGCTCAAATACATTAACATCAAAAATAGATATTCATATAAATAGCAACTTCTTCACTAACCCATCTCCCACAATAAGGTGATGCAGGGTTCAACTCTGAAACCTGTAATATTTTAGAACTGAAAATATTCACTTGGTCAAAATATTTTTTCCTCATAAGCCAAGCACGGTTGAGTTAACCTGTTCCCTCTTCACAAGCAATCAAAAGAAACAGCTTACACATCTTAGATGGAGGAGGAAAGAAAACAACCAGAGGTGCCTAGACTGAATTTTCAAAAAGGCATCATTGTAGCTGTACCCAGAGAGGACTGAAGTGCATAACAGCACGAAGGGGCATAACATAAAAAATGATTACAGTTGGTAAAGATCTATCTAACTCAGTACTGCACTGCCAACCAGAGCAAGCAAAAGTTTTTTCAGAAGAACACTGGGCATGCACAGCATAGTGCTCCACGAACACACATTCCCAGCATCCACTGAGCAGTGGTTTTTGAACTTCTGAGCCAAAAGGAGCATCACCACTGTTGTGTTCAATAGCAACTGATGGTGTTAATTCCTCATCATTCTGTCTAGTCTGCATCTGAACTTCAATCCACAATTTTAAGTGATACTGTTTTGAGCGAATGGGAGAAAGCACCTCAGTTTTTCTTCATTATCAAGAATCTGACTTGTGTGAAAATACATTTCATGCCATTTTCTTTCATCTTGTAATTACTGCTAAAGACCCTTAAAAGATCAAAAGTGTAAAAATTTGCCGGAAACAGATTAGAGTGTAAAATGTGTTGTAGAATCTTACAATTGCATCATCTTTTCAAGACTGGGTTAAAGGTTCCTTCTTCCTGAGGTCATAAGAAAAGACTTGAAATAGCATAAACTGAAGAAATTTAGCAAACAACCAAAACAATAAAGCAAAGGACAAGAAGTCACCATAAGTCCTTTAATACATCAAGAAGGGCAAGGAACACAACATTAAGGAGGAACCACCATCAGCTTACAGAATTTCTATGTAGCAAGCTCTAAATGAGAGAAAAATAAAAATAAAACAAAACCCCACACAATCTCCCCTCACTCTCATTTGAGAGTTACCTCCATGACCAGCTGAAGTGTGAAAGGCCCAAATACCCTGTTTCATCACTGCTTCAGAGAGCCTAAAATGGAGAAAGAACATTCCAGCCACTGAAGATGAGGCAGCTATCAAAGGGACAAGAGGACCTTCCCACCAGAACTCCAAGCAGTCTAAGTGAAATGGCTCTTGATAATTTTGTTTTACAAAGGCCAAATAGAGCCAGGGCTTAGGAAAAACAATAACTTGGATACCCCAGTTGCAAACTTCAAAGGACCACAGGTTTTCTAACTTCCTGAAAACCACACAAGACAGTAGCTAACAACCAGTGGAGTCTTGTTGTTACTCCCACCGATCAACCAACTTTTTAAAGACATCTGAACTGTGGTGCTACAAAAATGTGCAGACAGGCAAAGCTGAGCATCCTTGTAAAATCCCACATTGTCATCTAATTCCCTTCGTAGGCATATGAATTCACAGATGTTCACTTATCCGTTAAACCTACCAACTCAGAAATCTAGGCTTAAGGAATTTCAGGGTTAGGGGAAGACCATCCCAGTTAGTCTCACTTTAGGAAGGAAATGGCTTAGCATTTAAAAGTTGAACGTACTCTACCTGGGCTCAAAGTGACATGAAGTAGAAGAGCACAAAGTATCGCTATTTCAAAGGACTTTGACATGTTAGGATTTGATTTTGATCACACTTAGGCCAAGATATAGTTGCCCCTTTGACCGTTTTGAGGGTAGGTTCTCTGTCAAATTCTAATAAACACCCTTTCTATAGAGAGACACAATTGGCATGCTTGGAATGTTGAGCCTGTATACAGAAAGAAGACAGACAGGGAAGCCATCAAAAAAAAGCATGATTAACTTTTCATAGAGTTTAGAGACAGAATCCTATAGAATCCTGCTGAGTTTTTGTACATTACTAATCTAAATAACATGCTTTCATTTTGTGACTGACACAACCCGTGAGAAATGTTGTGTTTTCACATTTTTAATTCCCCAGCCTCAGAGAGAGAATGAAAGTACCATGCCATCATTAAAGTTTCTACCATATGTTCTAATGTAGGCATTCTCCTTCCCTTGTGATTTCTTTTCATCTAGTCTAGATGGTAGTAAAGTAGATCTTTTACATTTCTTGAAAAATTAGGATTTCAGTACTTTTGACAGAGAATTATTTGCATAATCATAAGCATAGAGGGCCTGAACAGTCATGATGACCTAAAACTTTATATTATAAAAACCTGTTGCTTATAACTTAGGCAAACAAGTAACTGGATTAAACTTTCCTAATGTGATCAATCTGATTCAAAATCCCCACACCTCTCCCCTCCTTAGAGATAAAAAACTAAACATATGTGTGCATGTTCACACAAACACACACACCTCCCACACGAAAAGAAGCTTAGTCAGGCCAATTTTTACTTCACTGGGAGGCTCTGGAAATCCTAACACTTGAACCAGAAGATTTTAAATTTCAAAGGAATGGAAAAAAGAGGGAATGTCAGCTCCAGGGAGATGTCTTTTATGGTCTCCTTGAAAAGCTACACCTTTGGCCAAGTTTTCAAGTTTCTAATAAAAACTGTCTGTGTTAGTGCTTAAGAGAACAAGAGAACATATCTTTAAGAAGTCTGTCTGCGCGTTTATCACTACATAGTATTTTTTAGAACAGTTAGAGGATCTTCTCTTCACTGTCCTTCTTGTCAAAGACCTCAGTAACACAAACATCAGTCAACTGTTGCAATGACCTGTTCCTCTGGATTTTTTCACTTAGAAGTCCACTTAATGTGCAAAAGGAGACAGCAGATTTGAAGGACCACATGTATGTATAAACCACAAAGAAAGAGAAAGACACAGGAGTCTAAATAAGATGATTGTCTAATCAGGATTTGGAACTAACCTGTGGGATTCAAGACTCATTTTTCAAGTCTTCTGAAGTGCCGTAGCACACAGTGAAGAAAATTCATATTTTTTTTCCCATCCAGAAAAGACAGAAAGAGGACAAATACCAGCATCTTGGACAGCTTACAGAAACTTTTGTTATGGTTGCAACCTTAGTATAAGAAATAAGTTTTGGTAGTATGGGTTAGTAGACATCACTTTTCCAATTTACTTCTTCAAAAGAAAATCCATCCTGAAAAATAAAGACCAGAAGCCTTGAAAGTGATTTAAAGGAGAAAAATACAGAAAGTTTAGCACTCAAAGTGATGGCTCTGAGAACATCATCTCAACTGTAATTTTTATTCAAGTAACTGAGCTAATGCTCAATGAAAATATTAGAGCATATCTTCATGAATACCCAGCCTCACATACAAAAGTGACAGCCAAGGCTGTCGTGCCCTCTAATTTTGTATACCACATTAAAAGCACTTAAATGACCGAGTCCCAGTTTTTCAGAGGATCTGACTGCCTTCTCTGCTAACCTATACATTCAAATTAAATAATAAACAATTGCTGACTGCTGTGAGAAGTCAATTTTAATTGACTTGTCTCAGGTCAATACTTGTTAGTTGATGCTATTGAAACAGAACATCTACATTCCTTCCTCTATTCTTCACTAGCAATTTCAAATTCGTAATTACAATGGTACTTTCCGAAGTTTTTACTATATAAACAACAATCCTTCCTACTCCTTCTTGTACTGAGAAATTCCTTTAATTTTACCTTTCACTACTGCATGAAACTCTCCTCATGAACTAAAACAGTCTTCTTTCCAGTTGTTGCACTAAACTTCAGAAACTCAATGGTACAACCCATATCACTGTTTGCTTAATCATATCAACCTGTCCAATCAAGTATAATTCTTCAAACTTATATTGGTAATGCACTTAGACCATTATCCCAATCTAAAAGAAAATATTCAATTTTCATACATTTGAAATCCTTTGTTCTTCAAATGTGGCTAAGTTAAAACAAAACTTTATAAAATTTGATGTGTAACCAGTTTCTTTTCCCTAAAGCTGCATTTCTGGGACAAACTCACAATTGGAAAAAAAAAAATTGTCTTCCTCTCAGGGATCTACTGAACAAGCTTCACCACATCCTGCTTAAAATTTATGAAAGACCACATTATAAAAGCAGATTCGATGTTACATGACAGATTTTGGGAACTTCTTCCAACTAAATCTTGTACTTTTACTATTTCCTTACACTTGCTTTGGAGAGAAAGGCACAAAGCAAGAAGCCTCACAAACCAGTTTAGTAGATGCTTTGCAATACAAGTAGTGACTGGGAAAGGAAAAAACCACCACTTGTGTTAAGTCAAGAAAATGGCATCAGGAATCTGTTGGGTTCTGGAAGAAGAGCACTAAAGACTGATATGGAAAAGACAATTTTGCAGAACCTTGAGAAATAAAAAATTTCAGATACATCCAACTGAAAAATCATGACAAAAGTAATTGCAGTCTAAGAGAAGGAAAACCTTGGGAGTTTAAATATACAAATTCACTGACAAGGAGTTACGAGAAGCAAAAAAAAAAACATATCCAAAAATGAAGTTTACACAACGTATGGTTTAGATGGAAAAAGTGATGCAATTGCTATTGGGTAGATTAGGTGCCTGTATTTTCCATTTTGTGGCATGGAACATGCTTGGGCAAATATACCGTCTAAGACTGTGAAAGGCATTTGAATCTTGGCTGAAG